CGTCCGCCACTTTTCCACCATCTGCCAGCCATCGTCCATCGTCCATCGTCCTTCGCTGCCCGTTGCTCTGTTTGGTTGAAAACCACAAATTAAGCGGAGAAATCCTGGCCGTGCATGCGAACGATGGCGCCGCGGAAAACAAAAAAATGCCAAAGGGGGGATATTGTAAATGGAACATTTAAAGACTCGGCAATACCCACTATTTTATATTGTACTATGTATATTAAGGGCTTAAATATCTGCTAAAACTAAATTTCCTTATTTAATTTTTTATTTAATATATTTACCAATTTTTGGGTAAACTTTCTTGTGTTCTTTTATCAAATAAAGATATACAAAGATATAAAAAACAATTAAATCAAGAAAGTAAAGACTTCATTTAACTTTATCTGACTTTAAATAATTTATGGCCAACTAATCCATTTTTTACTTGGTGATATTCCACCACATGCCATTGGGCAATAAATGAGTTAATAATTTTAAATATTTTCCGTACTACAATTTTATCTCTTCTTCTTATTTTATTTAAAACTAGAAATTTGTGTAGCTTTTATGATTAGCAAATTAAATTTTATTTAATTTCATTTTAATAATCGTAAATTTATTTATTTGTAATATAAACCTAATGGTAATGACATTACAAATTAAGTATATCCCTTAAGTTAAACAATTGATGGGTATAGAAAAAATACAAACGCAGGCGAGCGCCCACAAACATGCAACATCCCGACCGCAATGTATTACGAGGGGCGTGGCAGGTCTGGGCAGCCAGATAAATGCCCGTTGCTGCTGCTGCTGCTGCTGCTGTTGGAGTTGCTGCTGTTGGAGTTGCTGCTGTTGTTGCAATTGCTGTTGCTGTTATTGCAATTGCTGTTGCTGTTGCTGTTGCTGTCGTTGTCGTTGCCATGTTGCCACGTTGCATGCAAACAAGTGCAGCACAGCAGCAACACAAAGACACGGACGCTGACACGCTGGTGCCCGCACGTCAGCGCTCGTGCGTTTATTTGCCGTTTCCGTTTCCGCCTGTCGTCGTCGGCGTCATCGCTCCTGCTTCTGGATCCGCAGCCTTCACCCTTCACCCTCCACTGCCCCCTGTCCCGCCCATTGCGGTCAATTGCAGAGCTCAGATTGCGCGTTAATAAGTTGCTGTTGCTGCTGCTGCTGTTGCTGTTGTCACTGCCGCAAGGACTTTGCATGTAATGCACTGGGAAGTATCACGGTTTCCGTAATTTCCATACGAGCCATTCAGCCATTTCCAGAATGGCAACATAGTCAACTAGTCAACGCAGGCACTATCAGCATCAGCAACACGTTGCTGCTACAGAGTGGCAACAGCAACAGCAAACAGCAACAGCAAACAGCAACAGCAGGAGCAGATAGCATCGCCAAAGTAGCAACACAAAGTTGTTGTCACTGTTTGTCGGGCAACAGTGTCTCTAAACTCGACTCCGGTTGAAGTTTTTATGTGCCCGTCCTGAAACTAATAACCGTAATGCTCAACGTTTATTGAAAAAAGGTGGCCAGGTGGGGTGTGACACATTCTTGCTTGGCCATACATACTTATAAATATGCTTTGCCAGCAGTCGTCGGACAGTTCATAAATATTTCCAGCAGCTGCACGGATGCAACTTTTTGGCGTCGCATTTAATGAAGCAGCCACTAGCTTGACCAATTCCCCTTCCATTGTCAAAGAAATCAAGAGTTTTCCACAGCTAAAGTTTTTCCCCGACAGTCTGGCACTTTTCCTTTCGGCACATGGCAGAGCACTTTCTAAGTTCTATGAAACTGAAAACAAAATAGTGTGATTTAGTCATTGTAAATCTGTATATCTGAGGCAATTTAAATGAACTTTCTTAGTATAAAATAGAATTATTAATTCGAATTATTAATTCGATTAATTTTAAATTTTTTTAAAATTTTTAAAACCAAAGAACATTTTTTTGCTCAGTGGAAGAATAATATATCTGCGGTCATCTACAAATGATGGTCATATATTATGCATGGGCTCAAAGAAAAATGATCAACAAATGATTGACATCAGAACTGCCCCTAAACTCTCCTATGCCTCCCAGCATTTTTGCACCCACCGAAAAGGAAGTTGCGTTTTCCGGGCACAAAACTTTGGCAAAGTGAAAAACTTGCTGTCAGCATTAGATAAGCGCCACAAGTTAATAGACTTGTAAAACACACACACTTCTTCGGTGTTGACCCCTCGAAAAAAAAACTACACTGGATTTTTGGGGTGGTATCTATACTGAATGAGGAATTTTATTTATTTGTTTGTCGTTGGCATGTGGCGCGTGTTCCGTTTGGTTCTGGTTCCACCCCTCCACCACTGCCGTATAAAAAATAGTGATATAAATAAAAATGTTTTATACGCCCATTCTGGCTGAAAAGGGGGCGGGTCAGTCGGCAGTCGGCTGGCGGCCGGAGGCTTATCAGCCAACTAACAATTTAAGTTGTCAACTTGAAGGGCAGGACGAAGATGTATATCGGTGGATGGTGGATGGGCCGAAACTTTTCTGTTTAACTAGACTACTGCTTAATTTGAACGTCTGCGGCTTACCCTCTACTCCTTGGCCCCTTTTGTTTGATCTCTGACCCGGTCAAAGTTTAGCTCATCAACAAATGATCCATGGATGTTTTTGGGGGGCTGGGTGATTGACAGCCCACTTCCGCACTGATGTGCGTGTGTGTGTGTGTGTGTGTGCATGTGCCTGCTTATCAACTGTAGTTAAAGTTACCAAGTCGATTTCAATTAATCAATTGTCAAAATACTTGACAGCAGAAGTTAGAGTATAACTCATTTGGCCTCTAGGGGAAGCAGGCGACAGCAGGATGTTGCTGCGGCTGATGTTTGTGTTGCTCGGTGTAAACTTCAAACACTAGACGACAAAGTGCGGAGACAAACAGAGGTGGCACCAAATCCACTGACAAGTGTAGAAATGCAATCACAGAGCCGAGGCATCTTCATACTACTGCTACCGCTGCCGCTACCGCTGCTACTGCCGCTGCTGATGTTGCTGCCGTGCAGCAGCAGTTGTTGCTGCTGTTGCTGGCGTTGACATTGCCATGTCATCACTCTCCCTCAGACAGTCAGTCAACTAGGCACTGCCTCCTCCTCCTCCTCCTCCCGCCCCCGACTCACGGGGTTTATGTTCTGTTATTTACAATAGCGCATTTTTACACATATTTTTTCAAAGTCAACAACATGATTTTCGCAGTCTACGCTGCGCGACGTGTGCATAAAACCCAAACACAGCGGCAACACGAGTACAGCACCAGCAACAGGGAAACAACATTTACATTTTAAGTAGTTTTTAAATCGCTGCAGACAAACGTCAGCGTGTTGACAATTTATCATGCTCCTGCTCCTTCGCTGAACACTGGCTAGTGGGTGAATTTTGGGTGGTGCTGGGTGGTGTTGGCTTCTTTTGGGTGGTGCGACGTGATACATCCGGAACGACATCACCCGTCGCGCTAAGGCCAGTGCAATTTTTGATTGATTGCTGTCAGCTGGCGGAGTGTTTAAGCACAGGCTCCAACTAAAAGGGCTCCATGAAAAAGAAAAATAAAATTAAAATCCGCTCACTGCTCTCTGCGAATTTTCTTTTTAATTAATTTAAGACCGAATGCAACTTATTGATTTATGTGCGGGAGCCTGCAAATGAGGCTGAAAGGCGCCAGCGGCGGCTGTGTCCACTTAAGGGAAGAATACTCAATTAGCTGCGACTGCGAATGACGATGATGAGCCATGCAGCTACACTGAGCGAAAAATGGCACACAGAGAACTGGACATATAAAAAGTTAAGGCAATTATTGCAGTTATGCAATATAACAATAGGGATTGTAATACCCTCTGTCATTCAAACTTTATCAGATTACATTTTACTTAGAAATTGCAATTAAAACATTTTATCATTTTCAGAAACTGTCAGTCCTTCTAATTTAAAATTCCAACTCATTTTTTTGTTGACGGGAAAATATAATTAAAATTTTAAATGGAAAATGGAGATTTTCTGGTATAGTGTCAAATATTATTTGTATTAAGAAATATATTACCAAAATGTGATATTCCAGCGTTTAAATACAGATTGTAATGCACAGTTTTCTCAGTGCTCTGGCTCCACGACTCACATCTTGCAGCTCGTTAAGTTGATCACATTGCCAGCGGGTCAAGTGTCAGGACAAGTGTCGATACTCCCTTTGCACATCCTCTGGCTGCATTTTCACATATGCAAAATTAATTATTTGGCGGATCTGTTCTCGAGCACGGCGGAAAGTTTAAGTTGCTGCATTTTTTTGCAGGACGAAAATTCAATTGAAACTTTGCAGACGACACAGGGAATGCGATTGCGACAAGGCTAATTTCCGTGTTTCCCCGATGACTCCCTCTTGAAAAGTTTCCATAAAGATGCCGATGCCGATGCCAAAAACTTGCATTGAAGTGGATAAAGTGGGCAAAAGGAATTTATGAAGTGCCGTGCCCGCGGCTGATTACCCACCAAACCCCTTTCCTCCTTCTACCAATTGATTGTCCAGGAGAATCGAAGAATTTTTACTTTATTCCAACTCGAATCTCCCGGCCATCCATCCGTCCAGTCATGGACGGTCATGGCCATGGCCACTTGAAGCGCATTTTCTGCGCCATTTCCATTGCCATTGCGACTTCTGGCCTTCGGCTTGGCTTCCCCTTGGCCGCCCTTAGCTGGTTTGATAAATTGTCTGGAAATTACAAATGGACACAGAGGCCAATAGCTTTTAGGCAAAAGTTCACCCGCACTGCTCTTGTTTTGGATTCGTTTTTCGGTCAGGGGCATTTATGGTAATTTAAAATAAATGTGTGGCCCTGGAAGGAGCAGAGGATTCGCAGGCGCTTCCTGTCTATTTACGCTGATTTATGGCCGAGCATTGTTGACTCTTAATGGCAAATGTCGACAAATTTGCTTTAATGGTCAATATAACAGAGGCTGGCGCTCTGTATTATGATTTATGCCCCGAACCCCAGTCGCCTGGGAGTCGTTGATCGGCGAAAAACCCTAACTTGGTCTGGTTATCGGACGCTCTGTTCATCAGCTTGGCCTTAGCATTGAAACACCGAAAACTCCTGGCTAGAAGATGGAGAACAAGTGCCGCTGCGGTGCACAGACCATCGGTGGGCAGAACAGGTGAGTCCTGGCCAGTCCTGGATCTTTAAATTTCCCCCAACTCATGCTGATTTGGATTCCAGAACTGTCTTCTGCGAAGGTCCCCTGCTAGACGCTGTTCAGCGGTCGAATATGTTTCCCTGCTGCAAACACTTTGTGGACATGAGCTGCATTTTTTCGCCCACCCAAACGATGGCCGATTATGACATGTTCTCCAATTGCCGCAAGAACGACGGCTCCGTGAGGTTCCTGCAAATGTTTGTGGAGGTAAATTTGAATAAATATTGAATATCTTTTACAAACTACCTCTTTCAATTTTCAAGCTAGCCTACACCCAAAAACAAACTGAAAGTTTAGTTTTATTAAGCGTGTCTTAAAAATAAACTAAGGAAAGTATTGAAATATATGTATTAATTTCATTTCCATACCAAAAAAACACATAACTTTTATTTTGATACTTGCATGATAGTTATATAATGCTCATTTTGTTAAAAAAATTTTGTGTTCCCAAGAGTTTAAAATTCGTGTAACAATAGTTTTTTTTTTTATGACAATTTTATTTTGGCTGTACCTCAGATGTTATTTTAGCTAACCACTTGAAAGAGGCTATTTTATTCTGTGATGAAGTTAAAATTATTGTCACTTTTTTAACTTTTAAAATTGTATTCTAACCACTAGTTAAAAAACGGTACTGCTTGTAGAGCAAAAACTAAATATAAATTAAGATTTCCTATTTTAAGGCATGGTTTTGTATCGCCTTTATGTTTAGTTGTTATATTAAAATAATAAATATAAAATTATTAAATCTTCCTTTTTGCTTCAGAGACACTTTAATGATCCTGGATCGGAGCTGGAAACCTGGACTCCTCCCGATTGGAAGGCTCAGCCATCCTTTCTAGTCAAGATCTCTGACCCCGAAATAAAGCAATTCGGATCTGATGTCAACAAACTTTGGAGGCAATTAGGGCGACGCGTTAAAGATGAAGTCAAAGAGAGTCCCGATCAGTACTCTATACTTTACATACCCAATCCCTTCATAGTGTGCTCCTCGCATTGCCGGGAGTATCGATACTGGGATTCGTTTTGGATCATTCGAGGTTTACTTAAGTGTGGCATGCATCAAACTGCCCGGGGCATGATCGACAACTTTTTGGCACTAGTTCAGCAATACGGATTTGTGCCTGGTTGTGGCCGGATTTACTGCACGGGACGATCGAACCCGCCACTCCTCATAATGATGGTTAAATCCTATGTGGAGGTGACCAAGGACGAAAAGTACGCATTGAACTCGCTGCCGCTATTGGAGACCGAGTACGAGACCTTCATAAGCAAGCACTCGATTCAGGTGAGGGGCAGGACCATGTATCAGTACAGGGACTCATCCGCAGGACCAAGACCGGAGGCTTACAGGGAAGATCTGAGGAGTGTGGCCACCATCAGTGATCCTCTCGACCGAGAGGTTCTGTTCACTGAACTAAAATCAGCAGCTGAGTCGGGCATGGACTTTAGTTCCCGCTGGTTTATGGCCCCCGATGGCTCCAATCAGGGATCCCTGGCGGACACAAAAACCTCGGCCATTGTGCCCGTAGAACTGAACGCCATTGTGTTCCGGAGTGGCAAAATCCTGGCCGAATTCAATCGCAAGGTGGGCAATACCAAAAAAGCCGATGAGTACCAGGATCGAGCTTGTGGCCTGGTCAAAGCTATTCGGGATAATCTGTGGAACGATAAGGCCGGGATTTGGTTGGACTACGATGTGGCCAACAACAGGCCGCGCAACTACTTCTGCTGCACGAACTTCGCTCCCTTGTGGGCCAGGGCCTATCCCCTGGTCGACAGCGACAAGGTTTCCAAGGGGGTGATGCAGTACATCCATACCAATAATCTGGATGAAATGTACGGGGGCGTGCCGAACACCCTAAATAAGGAGGCGGGCCAGAAGTGGGATTACCCCAACGTCTTTCCACCCATGATGTTCCTGGTCATCGAAGGACTCGACAATCTGGGAACTCCGGCTTCCAAGGCAATGTCCAAAAGATGGGCCCATCGCTGGGTCAAGTCCAATTATGCGGCCTACAAGTACGAGAACTTCATGTTTGAGAAGGTAATGTAATAACTATAATTTGATAAATATTTACCTATCTATGACAATCGGTTGTTTTTTTAAAAGTTTTATTATTTCTTTGTGTTTAAATAAATGTAATATAATATATATGTCTATAACTTTTCACTTGCAAATTAATTAATATCACCGAGCAACATATAATGAAAATTATTTAAATATAATATCGCTTGCAATGATTCCGGCCCCTGTTAGTTTTTTATGCATCTTAGCATCAAATTTTACTTTTTAAAAATTGTCATATATGTAGGTTTCAGTACCTGTCATTGAAATATCTCTCCTAAAACAGTATTCGGCATAAAATGGCAATAAGATAACCCGATTTCTCCCTCCTTTTTCCAGTATTACTGCGAGGAATTCGGCTCTTCCGGAGGAGCAAGCCCGGAAAACACTCCAGTGGGATACGGCTGGTCTAACGGCGTGGTCATCGAGTTTCTCTGCAAGTACGGAAAGGAAATAAACCTGGCCGACGACGTCGACGAGGGCTGCAAGTGCAAGGCGCGCAAGTCACCAGGGACGAGAAACGGGAAGCACTCGTACATCATTACCAGTGAGGCGGACATGGATGACCAGGTATCCAAGAAGTCCTGCGTTTGTGCTGCTCCTTCAACAGCAACAGGAGCATCAGGAGCAACAGCAGCGACGGCAAGCAAATCCACATCTACAATGAACGGACCAGCTCAACCGGATGACAGTTGCTCTTGTGGCATTGCCCAAGCTGCCAAGCAGCAAAATCAGCAGCAGCAACACGGACAAGCAGGGCAGGATGGCAAGTGTTCCTGTGGGCCACAGCAAAAGACTCACCAGCAATCGCAAGCTCAAATGCAGCGATCTCAGCCGCAGGTGCAACAGGGACAAGCAGGAGCAGGAGCAGATTGCGCTTGTGGAGCAGGAGCACGTCTGCAACAACAGAAGTCCCAGCAGCAATCACAAGCAGTGGGTGCTCCAAATGCAGCCAGTTGCGGAATATGTGGTGCACAGAAACAGCAGCAATCGCAAGCCCAAATGCAGCGATCTCAGCCGCAGATGCAACAGGGACAAACAGGAGCAGGAGCAGATTGCGCTTGTGGAGCAGGGGCACGTCTGCAACAACAGAAGTCCCAGCAGCAATCACAAGCAGTGGGTGCTCCAAAAGCAGCCAGTTGCGGAATATGTGGTGCACAGAAACAGCAGCAATCGCAAGCCCAAATGCAGAGATCTCAGATGCAACAAACAGGGGCAGACTGCGCATGTGGGGCAGAAGCACATCTGCAGCAGGAAACGGCCCAAATGCAGCGATCTCAGCAGCAGATGCAACCAGAACAACCTGGAAAAGATTGCTCTTGTGGAGCAGGAGTGCAATCTGCGCGATACCAGCAGCAACTACAATCCCAGCACGATCCGGATTGTCCTTGCTCCGGCCAGCCGAAACCAATACCAAAGGGGCAATCCCAGGTATCGGGAACCATTGTCTTCCAGGGACAACATCCACCGGAAGATGCGGACTGCGAGTGCTCCGTTGATGAGCGGCAGCAGCAACAGACGCAACAGCAGCAGCAGCAACAGGATTGCATGCAGCAGCAAAGGCAGCTGCAACAGGAGCATCAAAGTCAGCAGCAGCAGCTGCAAAGCGACCAGGAGAAGGAGGATTGCTCATCGAAACCAATGCCCCAGGATTGCTCCCAGTATCTAAAGGAGCAGGGGCAGGAACAACGGCAATCTGAAGGCACCTGCGGTTGCATGGACGACGAGGATCAGGAACTGCAGAGGCAACACGACCAGCTCACTGGCCACTACTTTCCAGTGGTCGATAAGGAAGCGGGTGAGTGCTCGGACCAGGAAGAACACTCGTCACCGCAAAAGACAGAATGCGATGGATCCGGCAGGGAGGATTGCCCGGAAGGTCCGGAAGAAGATTGTGGCTGCAGTGGACAGGATAAGCAGCAACGGGCACCCGTTGCGGAATGTGCTCAGCCAAAGACGCAACAATATGGAGCTGCCGATGATTGCAGTTGCTCCTTGGGTAAAGGTCAAGGTCAAGCACCACCGCCCACCTTCATATGTCCGCATTGTGGTGGCATAACCAGTGAGGCGCAGTTCAACCACGTGTCCACCCAGTCCCAGATTGACCCCAATCGACCCTCGTTGCCGCCGGAAGATGACTGCGACTGTACCAAGGGAGCAGCGGGTCAGCAACTTCGCGAATTGGCCAGCATGGGTCTGCAGAGTGGTCACAGCAAGGTGGTGGCAGGTGGTCCAAGTGGTGCCCAGAAACCAGAGTGTGGTCCCTGCAAGGCTCACATGGCATCAGACTATCCGCCGGACCATGGACCCAGGCCCTTGTACAACAAACAATTTCCACTGGCCGATCCTGTGAGTAAGATCCAAGGTTGTCCCACGGTCAATGAGGAGAAAAGCAAGAAGAGAAAGTGCTGCAATTGCGATGAAAAGGAGGAATAGGTCTACTTCACCTAGAGATTAATTACAATCAATTAAAATCAAGCGAGGGCCCAACCGAAGAACTGGAAGTAAATTTTTGGTGTGACAAATTCTTAGAACTCTTTTAAAATTCAAAAGCCTTAGGACCTCGACTTTTGGCCACCAATTACATATTAAATTATTGTATTATATTTAATAAGTCATTTTGAAACATAAAATTACTTTGTTGAAGTACGAGTACACAGTACTTTTCGTATGAATCATAATAACTGGGTTACCAGATCAAAGTTCTTATAGATCTCCTATTACACCATCAAATTATCCCCTGGCCAAAATATTCAGAGAAAGTGAAAGTGTGAGTGAGAACATCGCCTAATTTCTTCCCTGACATGCCGTTCACAATCCACTACGGTTATCTTTATGGGCCTGTCAATATCTTTATGACGCGCCCACTCCCATCCGAAGGCCGCCAAACGATATATGTACATTTGGACAAGGACACATTTCGGGGGAAAGCGAAAGTATCCTTTGACACAATTTCCGCCAACCTCTGTCTCTGACTCTGTCTCGGTCTACTGCGCTACAGCCCTCTCTTTCCAACTGTGTGTGTGTGTGCTCATGCTTGTAATATTTGTGAACGAATCCTTGATGTGTTCATACACACACACACACAGCTGCTCACTGAATCATAAGCTCACCCACACACCCACGCCCATCGAGAATCGAACCGAAATATGCGCGCTCCATTACAACAGAACATACCCCCTCCATTCCGATTCAATAGCTTCCCAAAAACCCCCTGCTGATGCGATTGTATGGCTCTGATATTATTGAAATGCCATTTTGATTGGCTTTGATGTGTGTGGATGGGCGAGTAACGATTTGATGTTGCTAAATGCTAAATGCTAAATGTTTTATGCAGATGCCCCGATACCACCGGTCCCATGATGTGATTAAGCGATAAGTAGTCAGCCATGAAGCATTCTGGCCAGTGATATTAGTTTGTTCGCCCGGTGATTGCACTCTACGCTAATTTGATTGAATGGTAGAACCTCCGTGTGATTTTGCATAAAAGAGTTGGGTCTTTGGTTCTCGGCTTGGAGATTAAATAGAAATGGGGATCCCCCAAATTCCGGATCCCCAATGGCCTCTCGCTTCCGAGTTCTTATCCAATTATACACTTATGGCCATTTGTCAGCGGAATGTGTCAACAGTGCCGCGGCATTGTGTGTGCTTCTCTGGGATGATGATGATGCTGCTGCTGCTGCTGCTGCTGCTGCTGCGAAATAAGAGCTGAAACCCACACCGAGCAGCCAAAAGGAAAACCCAAGACTGACAGGCAGGGAATGCCAGGCAAACGGGGAAAACTCGGGGCGGGAATCGTAACCACAGCCGAATAACCGAGTCATATCACAGACGTGCAACTGAGCAGCACTTGATGATGAAGAATGTGAGCATCCTTGGCAGCGCCTGCATATGGCATTTAAAGCACTGAAAACAAATAAGTGGAGCAAACATATTTAACTGTCAGTATGCAAGGATAAAAGGTACGTGAGGAGTTGGAATGGCACTTTCTTGGAAGTGAAATACATACCCTTGTATTAACAAAAAACTTTTGCACAGTTATCCATAATATGCTCTATATAATACTTAAGTTTTAAGTATTGCCGAATTAAAAGGCTTCATCTTTGTTCAACAAGTCAATTGGATGCATAATCAAGTTGTTTAATTTAAAACAGTTGATAAGATTAATTTAAGCTAAGTAATTTAAGTGGTTTAAGATGAGAATAAACACCTATGTTTCTTATCTGACTAACTACTTACCCGATCATGAGGTAATTTTCAAAAGGAAACTGAAGAATTCGCGTAGCCCAACTTTGCTATTTAAGGCTATAAAGTATGTAAATCAAAGAATAATGCTATATTTTGGCTTATCCAGTCAGATAGTAATAAACTATAAAAACCGAGGAACAAAATTAGTTTGAATTCAAGATTTTTTCTGGGTACACTCCCGCTGGGAGCAAACCTTGTCCCTAGACAAGAAGCGGTGATGAAATGCAGAAGCGCTGTAGCTCATCATTCTTCGGGTTCCTACACCCGAGCCCCGCCCATCTGGTCCCGTTCCGCCTCCACGTCCGTCGCCGGAAATCCCCTCTTGATTATAAGTTTGACGCACCGCAGCCTTTAATGCGGATTCCGGCGGAGAGTCGCGACTAACGGAACGGCGAACTGCGAAAAAGTTGCAGACTGCCGACTGCCGACTTTGCAGACTGCTGAGTTGCGTTTCCAATTAGACTCTGGGCGAATCATTTGCATGTTATTGACTAAATTAAGTGGCAAGCACAAGTTGTAAAAATATGCGAAATTGGCCAGCAGACGAAACACAAAGCAAACTATGCGAAATGAAATGAAATGCGAAGACGACCGAGTGAAATGAAATGGAGAGGGATTTTGGCTCAGATGGCATTATATCGGATGACAGCAGTTCAAATAATTCCACTTTGACCTGTCAAAAAGTGCTCTCCACCTGAGTTGTCCTGTTGAGAATGTCCATAGTGCTGAGCTGAGTCTTTGTTTGGCTGCAAATTGAAATTGAAATTTGCATGTTTGCCACCAGAAATGTTTCAATTATTCGCATGCACAAATGAATATAAAATCGAAACAAGCGGCAGGAGCAGCTGCAACAACAACGAGAAATCTGTCATATGTCAAACTTTGCCATATTTAATTTCCTCTTTGCGAAATTAGTTTTTCCTCATCCGAAATTTGTGTGCAGCACATATTCGTGTTTGCCGATTTTTTCCTTTTTTGTTCCTCTCTTCCTTCTCTCTATGTTATACTATAAGTCCTTTTTTCGGTCCGCCCCTCACACAGCTGCAATAATTCATGTTCAAAACTACAAATTGAGTCATAAACAACTTTTGATTTCGCATATGGCAGCCATGTCCTCCGGTTTCTGGGGGTTGTGTCTTATTTTTTATACTTATTCCTTTTTGTTTTTTGTTGCATACTTTTTTGGGGTGCAATTGGGGATCGGATTTAGAGAGGGGTGCGTGAGTCGTGTTTGCAATAGTCGTGAGCTTGCTTTAAATTGGCCATTTTTTTTCAAGACCTATAGTAATGGTTCAATAAACAATAATAACTAAAAAATGAATATTTAAATCAGAAATAATTTAAAGACTTACTAGGCTTCTTGTAAAACCAAGACAAATTTGTAAGTCGTTTAACCTTTTTGTATTAATTTCCTAATTATCTGCTTACCAAAATATTTGTCATGTACCTTTTTCATTTTCTATAGACAGCTTTTGAATTTAAATAAGAGTACTTAAAGTTTGGTGACCTCGAACCTTTGCTTTCAATAATAAGCCCTACTTTAAGTAATGTTTACCAAATACGAAAAAACCTTGTGCACCTCCAGTTGGATTTCCCGGAAGTTCCCATTGTGTTCTAGTTGACCTTTTTAAAAATGCAAGCCCCTGCAGTCGCACTCATTAAAAACAAAGGACCAAATCCTGAATGTGTGCTGTGTGCATATATAGAGACGCATAAAACGGCTTAATTCATAATTTAACAGGGCGCACTTTTAGTTGCGGTTAACGAAAAAACGAAAACCGAAAACCGAAAGTTGAAAAACCATTTAAAAAGGTATGCAAACAATGTTCGTCCTTCTGAATGTCTGGATATGTGGCTGTTGTGGGGCTTACTTATGTATATTTCACTTTTTATGATTTATTTCGAAATACTCTGGCCACACTCAGACACCGGCGGCAGAAACCCGAAAACCCAAAAAGCTTTGCCGCTTAATTTCATTAAAAATTTATGAAATAAAGGCACAGCCAGGATGGCGTATTAAAATTTGATAGTCTGCTCTGCATGTTTGCATGTATGGGTTTGCATGTGTGTTTTACTGTTTACTGTTTGCCAGTGTGTGTGTGCCCTGTCTGTAAGGGTATCTGTATCTGAGTATATGTGTGTGTGTGTGTGTGTGTTTGTACTCCATGCGTCATTGTTAATATTGTGCTGCGGTTTTAACGCCAAAAGTCACCGATGGTCGAGGGGGGAAAAGAAAAAATTTGGCCCGTCTGTGTGCACTTTATTTGATGGACTTGTTTATGAGCCATTTCCATGCCATTCCCATTTGGATGCTGCACCTTGATTCGCATTTTTATTAATGTTTATTGCGTTTCGAGCATTTAATTTGATGTCCGTGTCCAAGTCGGCAATGATGAGACGTTAAATGGAATTGCAACTCGAGAGTTGTCCTTATCCGCCCAGCGAACCAATTTGCAAATGCACACGAAGTGCGGTGGGCGACGCACTTTTACCCTTCCTTCCATTCATTCTTCGTTTTTTTTTCTTTTTTGTTTTTCGGCCAGAAATTGCATTTTTAATATCCTTGGCAAGGATCGCAGGCTGTCATGGGTAATGAATGCGCTGGCAAACAATTATTTTTATATGACTGCTGGATGGCATGGGCGGCTGTCTGTTTGTCGCTTCTGCAGGAGAATCCTCCGCCGCTTCTTCTTCTTCTTCTGTTGCCAACGGTAACGGTAACTGCACATAAAAGCCCCGTTACATCCTTGAGAAGTTACAAGATGTCATTTCGACATCCTGCAATATTCATAACTGCCACCCAACGAGAACACTGCGTGAAAAGGTTGATTAAGTAGAGAAAAATGTTATATGAGCTCATAATATTCAATGAGTCATTAATAATGACAATTGGTTGGAACTTTACTCACAAATTTGTTAGTATATAGATACAATTTTGATTTAGTGTCAATTTATTGTTTTTGTTATTTACTTATTTTTTAATTTATTAAAAAACGTTGAAAAAATAATTATTTGGTATTAGTAATTTAAGATGCTATACAGAAATTGTTAAAAACCTAATTTTGAATGTGTGAAAGAATATTGCATATTTTAAATTCTTAATATTCTTACCTATACCATTTAAAAAATACGTTTAGCAAGGAAATTTTATAAATAAATTATTTAAAAAATCTAGAACACAATTATTTTATTTATGGATTAATTGATTTAAAAATTTGAGAATTGCTGCGTACTACAACATAATGTTTCCCTCTGCAGGAGCAATGGGAAAACGCACTTTGTCATTTCATTTGGGACCTCCGAAACACCTGCCGAACAATGGCGAACAATGTTCTAGTTACACCTGCCACATGCAACAGTGACACTCATTAGATTAGCGCTGATTGCGCTGCCCCCTCGACCTCATCACACCAC